GGCTGGAGGGATTTGTGGGAGCCTTGCATCACACCTGGGTGTCTGTGTGGGGCCAGGGATGAGAACGGGAAGGGGGCAGAGGAAGCTGGGTCTGTCTGCACCCATCACTGGACTTCCGTGTGACTTTGGGTGGCAAAGTCTAGGGAAGGACTGGGAAAGCCCAGGAAAGATCCTTGGTGTCCTTGAGAAAGGGAGCTGTCTTGTGCCACATTTTGGTGTCTCGAGCGCTGGCTTGCAAGGCTGGGGCTCATCCTGGCTGGTGTAAAACATCCCTGGAGGTGCCGGTTTTCTTTGGCTCAGTTTGGCTGTGCACTTCCTGCTCTGGCTGACACCCACCCAGGCTAGGCTGTGCCAGCACCTTACACATCCCCAGCATCAACTCCTGGTCCCCAGGGATGTCACCTGGCAGAGCCAGGAGGTGGCTTGTCACTTCCTGGAGCAGGGAACATTGCTCATAGCTGTCCCAAAGGGAGAGTGGCTTCCTGGTGGTCCCAGTTAGGACCTCTGTGCCTGGCTGCACTGTGAGACAAGAAGCAGGGAGGAATTTCTGGTTTAGATTGGATGCAAACATGTATGGGAAGGTTTGGTTTTATCTCAAAAGCAAACAGCTCTGCACATGGTGGTGCTACCATCCAAAGAGATCCCCCATGATGTGTCTGAGAATTAGGCACCTCCTACAGTCTTCCAAAGGCATCGTGTGCTCATGTAAGATGCCAGCAAGAGAAGACTAGAGGCCCCTTGGGGTTCAGCTTGCCCCTGTCCCGGAGCCCAGAGCTGCTGGGGAGAGCAGGATGGCAGGGGCAACTGGTGCAGAGTGTGCAAAAAGCGCTGCAGAGGTGGTTGATCAGGAGATGCACCCTAAAGGGATATGCTTTTTAATGGGGATTTAGCTGACTGGACTGTGAGGGAGTTGAACTTTGATGAACAAAGTCAGACTAAGATATTTCCCTTTAGCACAAATAGCCACAGCCCAAAAGCAGAGGGTCTCACCAGTGAACAAATGGGAGCACAGCTGATGGCTCTGAGCAGCCTGGCCACATCCCTGTGCAGAAAACCACCCCAGAGGCTGGGAATAATCCTATCAACTTACTGGCTGACATTTCAGGGCTAGTTCACCCACCACACCTCTGGTTTGTTGATCTGTGCAGCCTCGTTGCTGAACTCTGCAGCCACATGCTCGGTGTTGGCACCACGAGCTGCTTGTGCCAGGGAGTGTCCCTGCCACCTCACCCCAAGAACTGATGGGCTTTCCACCCTGCTCCTTCCATGATGCCCAGTTCTCTGTCCTTCCCCACCTCTCTTTAGTGTTGGGTCACATCCTCAAAGTTTTGGCCCTGCAGGAATGACCTCTTAGGGTGGTGCATTTCTGTCCTGTTGTCACCAGTGACAGCAGGAGGATGAAGGGAAAGTAAACCATGATGGGGAGCACAGTGTGATGATACAAATGGGCTGGAAGGACCCAGGAGAGCCATCAGTTTGTCCTCCACCCTGTGCAGGAGCTGTTTTCCTATGGTGAGGCAGGGATCAACCCAGCAGGGGTGTCTGGAGCCTCCCTCCACCAAGACACTGGAAATGCCAGAGCCACGTAAGAGCCGTCAGCCCAGCAGATGGCACGGGGCTGTGGCTGCGCCTGCTGTGAATCAGGGAAGGAGCTGGATCCATGCATTAACTCACTGGCCATCTCAGCCCACAGCATAGAATGACTTCACCGTCGGCTGAACATCCCACCATGGAAACCAAACCTCAGGAATGCGTCTGGGTGTGCTGACTCTCTTCTCTCCAGAGGTCTCTCTTATGTCTCAGCTACTCCCAGGCTAGCAAATTGCTGTTGTCACCTCTCCCACCAGCTCCATGAGCTGGGCTGGGGATCAGTGCCCATGCAAGGGTCATGCCCTATGCCCAGCAGGTGCCTGCCCAGGGTGGCACTGCGGGTGCTGCCTCCCTTCGTGCACATCCAAAAGGAGGGAGCTTTGCCATGGCTTCAGTCCAGTAGTCCCAGCCAAAGAGGGGAAGTCTGCACTCCACATGCCGTCCTTCTCCCTCTCCCCATCTCTTGCTGGAGACAGATCTACCAGTGGCTGTAGCAGAGCCCCGGTTTTGGCGACGAGCAGCAGCAGAGTGATGATTAATGCTGAGCAGAGCCACAGAGCCAGGGATGTCTGAGTTGTCTCTGCCTCTCTCCTAAACCCATTTGGCCAAAAAAGGCTAATGTGAGCATTTCTGCATCTGCCAGCCTGGGAGGGGGCCCGGCCAGAGCTCGGGGTCTCAGCAGGCATGTATGGGGCTGTATGTTTTTCCACTTGGGCTGGAGAGGGGCCGTGGGCAGGCAGCCGCCCGGCTCAGGTGACTCCTGAGCCGCCCTTTCCATCTGACTCATGAGAGACGTCGCAAGTGCTCTCCTGCCCAATGGAAAATACGTCTCCTTGCAGCTCATGGCTTCTGGGCCCATGCCAGTCCCCCGGCAGCACAACTTCCCAGGGCTTTGCTGGCATCTGCAGCTCTTCCCAGGCTGGAGCTGGGAGAGCAGCTCCTTGGGATGATGCCCAACCAGGGCTTTACCTTCAGGCTGTGCCCGTAGCCAGCGTGGCAGAACAGTCAGGGTGGCAAGGGCTGGGCAGGACAGGCCCATGGTTCCTGCAATGGGCAGGAGCATCTCTACAGGCACAGCTCCTGATATCACTGCTGGCATGACATTGCTTTTCCAACACTCCTGATTTCCTCTTTTCCACATCTTTGGAGGGTCCAGGATGGAAATGATCATCCTTCAGCACCAGGACAGGTCTTTTCCTTCCCAAAGCCAAGCACCCCATCCTCTCTCTTCCTTCCTGGGTTTGGGCAGCATGCGAGCGTCTCCCATCTCAAACCCCACATTCACGTCCCCTAAGATTTCTCCATCTTGTGTGTCCTCATGGGCTTGTTTGTTTCAGTGCCTGAATGCCACCCTACCACAGGTTATCAGGAAAAACCCAGACCCTGGGGCTTTCTGCGCAAGGGAAGCTGAGGCACATTGGTCAGCATCTCTTGCTGGGGCACACTGGGCTGGAAGAGACAAGCCAGGGCCTGTGGCTCACTGTGCCCAACCTCAGGCTGTTTGCATCACGCCCCAGAGCCTGCCCCCTCCGTGCCCACTGCCCAGGCTGCAGCACTGGGCTCCCCCTGTTCCTCTGGGAAGGGAAATGTTTTCCCTTTCCCCTCCCGTTCTGCTCGCCAGCAGCGAGTGAGTCTGGTTTCCCCTGCACACTGCCGCCAAGAGCCTCTGGAACCACTGGAAAATGCATAAAAGACCTGGGCAAGGCTGCGGTGAGGGTTACTCGCAGTCACAGCTGGATCCAGCTGCTGCTTTAAAGCAACAGCACAGCCACACAGGCTCCCCAGGACACCCAGGTGTCCCAGGGGTTTAAATCCCATGGGAAGAGAAGGCAGCATCCTCACTGGGCAGCAGCCCTGAGGCTGGAGGGGGCCTTTTCACTGGGGAAAAAGAGGAAGGGGCAGCCCAAGGGTGGGCCTGTGCCTGGGGTTTGCTCACCCAGATTCACAGAGTGCTTCCCCCTGCCCTGCTCCTGTGGCTCCTGGCACAATTACCAGGAAAGCACTTCCCTGCCAGCCCCAGCTGCATCCCACAGCTGGGTCTGCAAAGGACAACAGCAGCTTGGGGACCCTGGAGCAACGGGGGCTGGCAAAGCAATTTACACTCCTCCCCTATTTTTGGAAGAAATAATGCAAATCCTGGAGTGTTTGATTCCAGGCAGGATAGAGGGTGTGGCTTTCAGCTGTGGCTCAAGGTGTTTCGGCAGCCCCCAGTGTTTCAGTGTGTGAGATGCAGAGGCCCATGGAGTGAGATGGAGCAACTGGCTGTGGGAAGGCAGGAAACTTATTCCTGCATCCTGGGAGCCAGCATGGTCCCGCTCTGGCAGAGGCGCTGAGATGGAAACAGCCACGGGGCACTGGGGTTAATGAGTAAAATAACTCACCCCGCCCAGGTCTGCTTTATGGCCCTGTTAGCATGGGCAAGCAGAGGGAGCTTTCTGCGGGGGTGGATGTCTTTCCCGGTGTGCCACGTCAGACTGGTCAATTCATGACGTCTGCTCCACCTTCCAAGACGCAGCAATAAATCAGGTTAATAATTAATCCCAACTGCCTGGGGAACCTTCCCTGGGACTAAGGCAGATCTCCCAGCCAGAGTCACAGCTCCCAGTGTCCCACGTGAGAGCTGCGGTGATGGGCGAGTCTCACAGGGTTGCTCTTTACCACAGCATCATGAAAGGTGCTTAAAAACAAACATGGAAGGAGAAAGGAACATTCCCTGTCCTATCACATCCAGGATGTTTGTTCCTGAGTGTATGCAAAGTGCACACACTTTTACACACACGGTTTGTGCAAAGTCTTGATGTGGTGGGAGTCTGGCTCAGCCAAACAAATTGCAGCCTTGACCTCTCTCCCTGCTCCAGGGTACACCACAGGTGAGTGGCTTAACAAAGGAAAACCTAAAAGTGTGACCCCCTTTGCAGCTGGTCTCAGGTCAAGCTGAGCCCTTGGTCCTGTTCCAGGCACTCAGAGGTCTGGGGAGGAGAGGGCTGGTTTGTGTGTCTCCGCAGGGCAACGGGACCTTGGCTTGTGTGGGAAACCCAGCCCAGGGACCACAGTGTTGGCACAAGTGGTCAGGAGGTGTGAGAGTTCCTGGAAGAAGAAGTGAGAGTTTTTTCTGTGTATGTATAATTTGCTGGAATGAAAATAAATCAGAAAACAACACTCACACACACCAAAAAAACAAAAACCATATCAAAGAAACCAGTGCAGCTTTCCCCAGTGAAACAAATTCCAAACCATCAGTGGGAAAACACTGGCTGGGTCAATCTGCCACTAGCCAGTCTTCTGGGATTACATAAACTTCATAAAAAAGCTCACTTCTTTCTTTGTACTACTTTTTTTTAATGAAACTTTTTAGTTCAGGTCCACTTTGAAATTAAAAGAGGATTCTTGAAACAAAAAAAGCACTGTGGTTTGCTTTGAGAACATCTAAATGAGCCACTTGGGCATCACCCCAGTCCTTGTCCTTTCTCTTAACCCAGACAATGTCCTGGAGCCCTGTTTGATGCCAGCTCCAAAGCCTTGTCCCCACAGGTTGCTCCTCCCCATCTCCAGCAGTGCCATCAGTTGGGATAATGCTCGGGTAGGAGGTGGGTGTGTGGCACTGGGACTGGCTCTCTCCAGATGGGTCCCAGGAGCCATCAGATGTGGAGATGCTGCCAGCAGGAGCTGGTGTCACCCTGGCTGTCGCTCAGGTGTCACCCAGGAAGATCTGTGCATTGCCTTCCCTTCTACATCCCAGGCCAATGCAACAACAACAGGTCCCTTGCAGGTGCCTTGCCAGCTGTCCCAGGGCTGCAGTGGCCTGGCACACCTCAAATGTCACTGGTGTTCTGAAAGGCAGAGGGAGGAACTCAGCTATTCCATGCCCAAGCAGCACACAAGAGCACTTATCCAGAAATTCACACCTCTGCCCACAGTGCCAACAAGGCACCTGGTGCCTCCAAATTTCAGCGAATGGCTCAGACCTAGGAAATACAGGTGATGGGTGCTGCAGAGGAAGAGGGGCAGGGCTTCAGATTTGGCTGCTTTGCTGAAGGCAGGGCTGGGCAGGAATGGCAGGGATATACTGCTGGCTGAGTCTGCTGGAGTGAATAAAAATATTCAGGTTTCTCTTTTTTATGTTTCATTCTCAGCAGAGTGGTTGTGGCTGCTCATGTGAAACCTGTTCTTGCTGGGTGCTGGAAAGAGGCAAAGGGAATGTGTGTGGAGTAAGACTTTTTTAAAGAAATATGCTTTCAGTTAGATTTTGTTCTTCCTGCTGCTTTTCTGCTTTCCCAGGGCAAATCTAAATAGCTGAAAACTTGGGTTTGTCCTAAACTTTTCTATGTAATGATGAAAAAAATCATAAACAATTCTGCTTCATTTTCAGGTGCACCCTTGAAACAGAAGCTGGTGGTGCCAGGGATGCCCAAGACTCTGTTTATTCCAGACATCAGAAGCCCCAGACCTGACAGGATCTGAGCATTTAAAGACTATCAGAGGTAAAGCTTTGTGCAGCCATCACACCAGGCCTGCAGTGCTCGCATGCAGTTGGATGTGCATCTTTTTCACACACAGGGGGAGGTAGGGGGTTATTTCAGCCAAAACCCCGCACAGCAGCATGGCATCACCTGGGAAGTTCTGTGCTTGCAGCCCTACAGCTTTCCTGCACGGAAGCAGCCATCAGAGAGGTGGAATGGGACAATGGGAGCACGGCTGGCACAGCTCCCTGCCCCAGACTGCCAGGAGCCCTCCTTACCCTGCAGCAGTGCCACTTCCACACCAGAGCAGCACAGCCCTCAGGCTGCAGCATCAGCCCTGTGCCTGCTGGCTGGATGTGCTGATGCCGGGGCATCCACAAAGCCCACATCCACTGTCACACACCCACAGCTGCTGGGTGCCCTGGAATGGCAGCAGTCACCCTGGGGCTGTGGTTTGGGATTTACTGCTGCTCCCCACAAGCAGATACTGCCATCCCTGGCCCCATCATGGTCCCAGGACAAATTGCAAGGTTAAATGGTTGTTGCACTCTCAGAGCTCTCCTGATCACATCCCTTTGTGCCTGTTTGTGCACAAAGTGGAGTGGAGGAAAAGCCCCTCTTTGCAGAGTGGGATGAATTCCCAGCCATGGGGTGGCATGCACCTACCATCCCTTGTGCTGCAGGGATGAAGTGGGTCCTTCTTACAGCCTGTTCTGGTCAAGCTGATGCTCATTGCGTCTCATGGCCATGATTTTCTTGGGACCATGAGTGCAGCAAATACAAACTTTCCTATAGGCACTGGGAACAGGTTAAAAAGGATTCAGGGAAGGTATGTATGGACTTTTGGTGGTGATAAGGACATGGGATGCTGTAGAGCTGGTGCAGCCTGTTTGGGCAATGTTTCCTGGGGAGCTTTCACAGCCCCCAGGACACAGAGCTGCAGAGCACCTGGGAAAGCGATAAGCTTAGATAAAGAGAAACAGATCTGGAGAATGCAATACAATCTTCCTCCCCAGACTGAGCTGGAGTTCTCTTGGTGGTCTTTGAGTAGCAGAGATGCATGGGTCCCTCTGCATGTCCAGTCTTGGAAAGAAGAGTCTTTCCCATGAGAACCTCAGTGTGCCCAATGGGTTGTGAGAGTTGTAGGAGGCGCTGACCCTCATCACCCATGAAAAATGCAGAGGAACTGTTCAGAAAGGGACTGTGATATCTCTGCTGGACAGGAAAGGAAATGCAAATTTCCTGCTGGCTTCATGATGGACATGAACAGCTGGTGGAATTGGGAGGATGACAAAAAAAGGGAGATATCAGAAATTACAGGAACTGATTTTTATGGCTGAAAAACACCTGCAACTGAAATGTTACATTTAAAAGGAAGGTCTTTAATCTGCTTCTTAATGGGCAATGGGATGTCCCATGCTGATACGGCTGTAGCAGGAATGCTGATAAAACTGCATCCTAACCAGGGCTGAAGGATCAGTTTGGAAGGACACCTCACCTGCCTGCTATGGTATTGGGAATTTGACACATGATGGGTCCCAGCATGCTGAGCAGGCACTTTCCTGCTGCAGCAACTCCCCATCAACTCCCTACACCCCCAGGTGAGCTATGGGTCCCAGAAAATGTGTGAGTCCTGTACAGAGCGTGGATACCTGGTGAGACTGGAGTCCTGGGCAGAGTATTGGTCCTTGACAAGGTGTGGACCCTGAGTGAGATGTGGGTCATGGGGGAAGGGTAGGTCCCAGGAGAGGTGGGGATCCCTGGATGTGTATCAAAGACTCTGGGGCACAGCTAATTCACCCCAGAGAGGGCACAGTACACGAGAAGCCGGAGTAGGACGCCCCCGAATTGCCAGATGCTGGTGAGCGTGCCATCAACAGCGGGGAGAGTCCTCAGGGGGACGCGTGGGATGTCACCTTTAAACTCTGCCCTGGGAGCACCGGGGAGGTGTCTGTCTGTTGGGTGGGGCGGGGGGACGGGACAGAGGGCAGGGCAAGAGTTAACCTACCTGCTCTGCCATCTATCTCTAGGCTCCACCTCGGAGAGAGAGGGGAGGGAAAAGAGAAAAAGTAGGGAAAAAAAAAAAAGAAAAAAAGAAGAGGAGGAGGAGGAGGAAGAGCTCAGAGAGAAGCGCCCGGACCGCGGGCAGCACGGCCAGCAGCGGAGCGGCCGCCCCGTCCCACTCCCAGCATGTTCCAGTGGTGAGTGATCTCCGGGGAGCGCGGAGCCCAAGCCCCGCTCCCGCACCGAGTCCCGGTATCCCTGGCTCCGCCGTCCCGTGTCCTCCGCTCCCGGTGCCCGGCACCGCCGTCCCGACGCTGCGTCCTGCCCGGAGCCGGGGGACTGCGAGCTCCCCTCCCCACCGGATCCCTCTTGAGATTCGCCTCGGAGGGGGCTGGCCGGGGAAGGGTAGCTCTGGTGGGGACGGTGGGCATATGGAAAGCGACTAAGGACGGAGTTCGTCATTTGTCCCCTGTCCGTCTGTCCCCATCCCGGGAGCGACCCTCCCGCCGCCGCGGCTCTGCGGGGCTCCCAGGCGGGGTCTCCCTGGGCAAGGGCGTCCGCTCCCGACACAATTTTTTTCTCCATGTCGGGACACCGGAGCTCCGGCCCGGCGGGAAGCAGGATGGGGGCAACGGGCAGGGGCGGCCGCTTGGTGCCCCCCAGTCCCGGGGGATGCCTTTCTCATCTTTTCCCTAAAAAGCGCTGGTTTGTGTGGTGTGGCCTGAGGCAACAGGACCTCCAGCCCTGCCCGGTGGGGTCCCTGTCCCACGGCAGCGGCAGCTTGGGGGCAGATGCCCCCGCCGGGGGCAACACCCGGGGTTTCGGCTCTTGCCTCTTCCCCAGAAGGCTGTTTTTACCGCCTTGTAATTCAACCAGATGGCTTTTCTGAGTAGGGGACGTGTCTCCGGGCACCTCCATGGCGACTTGCGGCCCCACTTGGTGTTTGCACCCCAGCTATTGCACAGACTGCCTTCGGGGACATTTGGGTGCTTTCTGCCCAGCATCTGCCCCTTTATAAGATCCCCTCTCCAAGTCCTTGGCACTGCCAGCAGACAGGACTCTGTACTGGCGGTGCCTCCAGCGACTGGGTCTAGTTGAGGGGCCAAAAAAACCCCTATCACATAAATAGATAGCGCTAGCGGATCAAAGGGGTTTTCACGTGAATCCAAAGTGAATGGGATAGGGATAGAGAGCCCCTGTCTCCCATGGCCTCATCTGCCCTCGAGCATCAACACCTGAAAAGGATACAGCCCACCTCTAATTTAGAGTTTATGTTTAACTGCCTGGTGGGGAAGCCACCTCACAGTGAAGCTTTTGAAGTTTCCTTGGTGGATAAAAGGGAAGAGGAGGAGTATGTTAAGACCTTTCTAAAGCTCTCTTGGTGGCACCAACACCAGCAGGTGGGACAGACGGACCTGGCTGGCTCCGATGGGAGTCCACCCCCACCCCCGATGTCTGCCACCCTTGGACTTTGCTGTGCTGGGTGTCCCCAGCTCCTGGGGACACTATGGGGACTGGTTGGGGTCTGTGCCCCAAAGAAGGGTCCTGGGGCTTGGCAGGGTCACTTCTCTGCAATGGCAGTAAACCCAAAGCACCTCGCTTGCCGATCTCCAGAAAGCAGGAATTACTTTTTCACCCGTACCTAGAGTACTTCCCAGCTGAGGAGACCACAGAGCAGAAAGACTTGCAATCTGAAAAGATGCACAAACAATTGTCGCTCTTTTAACCCCCTAATCCTTGGTTTGATATGGGAATTGCCTGCAGTTGTGGCTCAGGGTCCTCCCAGTCTCCGTCACTTTCCTGGCAGTGCAGGGACAGGGTTTCTGCAGGGCAGAGGTGGCTGTAGAGCTCCTGGTTCCTGCTGGACCTGATGGCACCCCGTGGTTTGCAGTCAGATCAGTAGGAAAAATCCCAAATAGGTTCTTGTAGCAAAGCAGAAATTGCGCTGGTGAGAACTCGGAAACAGGGTCCACTGAAGGAAGAAGGAATAAGTTTCTGTGCTGTTGTGCAACACCTCACCTATAAACATACCCAGGGCACTCAACACTCTACTTCTTAATAAAAGCTGGAGTTGCCCCTTCAGCTCTGGGTTAGAATCTTCTGTTTGGACCCAAGGAGAGTAATGGGGGTCAGGGCACCCATGCAGCTGCTTTCTGTTAGGCAGAGTCTGCCAAGGCTGGGAGCGTCTGTGCCAGTTAGTGACGGCCCTACCTATGCAAATTTTTAAAACTTTTGCCAGTAATTCCCTGCCCTTTAGTTTCTGGGGAACTTTTGGCCATCATTCAGGCTGAGTATTTTATTGCTTGTTGTCCTTGGGTGGTGGGGAGTGTAAGAATATGATGGGATAGGACAGGATGGGATGGGATTGATACAAACGAAATTACTCAACAAGAGTGACAGGGGTTATTTCTACAGCAGTGCTGAGTGTGGATGAGAGGTTTTAAATATTGCTTGGCTGTGCTTGGGGTAAAGTTGTACTGGAACTGAAGGGTTTGTAAGAATAAGCTCAAAGCTGTGCAGGCAGGGCTGGAGAGGGTTAAGGGAATGGTGAGATCTAATCAGAACTGCTCCCTCATCAGTCTCAGATGAGTGGCCACATATAAAACCGGATGGGGAATATCTATCCATTTACCCGTAATTACTTATTTCCACGCTCGCTCCCACAGTCCACACTAGTGATCACAGTTTTCCCACAGCAGCGTCAGGCTCAAAAGTTCTTTGTGCTTCAGGGCAAAGCCAGAGACAGGAGCTCCTGAAAGCTCCTGATTCCCAGTCTGAGATTCCTACATTCCTGCATTTCAGGGTGAGTGGAATCCCCGAACACAGTGTTGTCTCCTGCCCTGGGGAATATGGCAACCTATGGGGTGTCCCACCAAGCAGTTGTTTTGGGTCAGCCTGAGGCCCAGAAGTCCAGCAGCTTCACAGTGGTTCTGATCACAATCCAGCCCCCGGGTCTAGGAGAGTTTCATGGCTTTTGGTTTTTTTTTGTCTATCTGGAAAATACTTGGGTTAAATGTTTCAGGTTTCAGCCCCAAGCTCCTTCTCTGGACTGTCCTGAAGTTAAGATGCCATCTGCCTGCTAGATACGAGTCTGGATTTTTCTGGCTCTGATGGGAACAGGTGGCTGAGGGCTGTCCCCAGTGCGGGGGACAGGTAGCCCACCTAGGCTGGGCTGTGCTCCTGACATAAAGAGGACAGGCAGAGGGGCATGCCAAGACAAGGGCCACATCTGTCTCTGTCAGCTCCATAACCCAGTGTCAGGAAAAAGGCATCCAGGGACTGCCAAGCACCTTTTGTCAGAGCAGATAGAGAAGCAGCTGCACTTGGGAAGCTGTTGGGAGCAGAGATGAGGAGCTCAGCTGCCATCCTCCCATGCCCAGTGCTCATCTGCACAGGGAGATGTCCCAAGGCAGATGGAAAACGCAGGACTGAGGCAGGAGGGAGTTGGTGCAGATGTGCAAACTGTGGAGGGAAGCCGAGAACTCTGGAGCTACATTATGCAGCTGGGCAGAGAGGGCAGTCCCCCTCCTCTGTGGCAGTGGGATAAAAAACCCACCTTTAGCTGTGTGGAAAAGCAGGCTGGGGAGGAATTGTGTGTCAGTGATCTCCAAGTGCAGCCCTCCTGCAGTCCCAAGGACCTCAGGAGGATCCCGCTCAAGCCTCCTATGAGCTCCACCTGGAGTTTGCCCCAAGCCAGCAGTTTCCCAGGGCTCTGGGTCTGGAGCAGAGGACAGCAGCAGGATGGCCTCAGGAAGAACTGGCTTTGATCTACTCATGCCCTGCACTCCCTGGACATGCAGACACCTGGTATGTCACAGGCTGGGAAAATCTCCCCACCAATCTGCCCTTCATCTGCTGCTCCTTATCACCACACAGGAAGCAACAGGACCAAAGAGCTGCCAAAACACCCAGAAAGTGCCCCAGAAATACTGGTTCCCAAGGTGGTTATAGGGTTAGGGATGTCTTTTTTTCCCACTGAACCATGAAATTTTACTCAAATGTCTTTTTTTTTTTTTTTTTTGGTCCTGATGTGCCATTTTGAAATGAAACAGCAATGCTGGTTTCATATTGACTTTTGTGGTCTTCCCAGCTCTGGTTTCACAGTGCTGTGTAACCTGTGATGCCAGTCTAGGCCATGGACAGTATGTCTGTCTTGGAGCTGAGGCTTCTGTGGAAAATATAATTCCTTCCTGCTCTTGTCCTAAACTGATAAACTCTTGGGACTTTCATCTGAAACAGCTGCCTTGCTAAAACTCTCACCCTGACTTCTCTCTCTCTCTTTCTCTCAGCCCATATTTATCCTTCCTGTGAACCCTTCCTGGATCTTAGCAGTGGGGTTACCAGATGCCACTGCAGCCACCCCCACATACCTTGTGCCTGTCCCTACAGTGAAGTGTGGCCCCAGAGCCACCCCACAGGCAGAATGCAGCTGGGAAGAGTGTGCATGGGGGTATCCCGCAGCTCTTCCCATGAGGTTTCTACTCCTCAAAAGGTGATGGAACATAGATTATGAGCATCCCATGACCTCTCCAGGAAGTGCTTTTGCAGACAAATCTGTTGAAGCCTGTGGTTTCTTCTTCTTAACCCCTTGTCTCTTCCCTTTAGGAAGAAGACTATCTACAAAACAGTTTGTCTCTCCTTCTTGCTGATCATTACAGTGACGGTGCTGCAGCGTGGAATGGCCCCAAACCAGTTCATGCAGGGCCAGCAGCAGAGAGAACTGCCCCCTTCAGAGCCCTTGAAATCCCAGAAGAGAGACAACTCCTTCTCCATCAGCAGCACTTTCTGGAAGACCAAGAAGGAGAAAGCTCCTGTGAAGGAGGAGAGCGTGACAGCAAAGCAAACAAAATCCTGGGATGTCACCACTACCAACTGCTCAGCCAACCAGAACTTCAGCAAGGTGGATTGGTTCAAAGGGCTGGAGCCCAACTTCCAGCAGTTCCTGCTCTATCGGCACTGCCGCTACTTCCCCATGCTGATCAACCACCCAGAGAAGTGCAGCGGGGATGTCTACCTGCTCATCGTGGTCAAGTCCATCATCACGCAGCACGACCGCCGCGAGGCCATCCGGAGGACCTGGGGCCAGGAGAAGGAGGTGGAGGGCAAGAGGATCAGGACACTGTTCTTGCTGGGCACTGCCTCCAAGGAGGAGGAGAGAGCCAACCACCAGAAACTGCTAGATTATGAGAACCGCATCTATGGGGACATCTTGCAGTGGGATTTCCTGGACAGCTTCTTCAACCTCACCCTCAAAGAGGTCCATTTCCTCAAGTGGGTCGACATCTACTGTGACAACATCCACTTCATCTTCAAAGGCGACGACGATGTGTTTGTGAGTCCCAGCAATATCCTGGAGTTCTTGGAGGACAAGAAGGAGGGAAAGGACCTCTTTGTGGGGGATGTCCTCTACAAAGCCAGGCCGATCCGTAAGAAGGAGAACAAGTACTACATCCCCAGTGCCCTCTACAACAAAAACATCTACCCACCCTATGCAGGGGGTGGGGGCTTCATCATGGATGGAGCCCTGGCCAAGAGGCTTCATAAGGCCTCAGAGACACTGGAGTTGTACCCCATTGATGACGTCTTCTTAGGGATGTGCTTGGAGGTCCTTAAAGTGTCACCTGTTGGGCATGAGGGCTTCAAAACTTTTGGCATTGTGAAAAACAAGAACAGCAAGATGAACAAGGAGCCATGTTTTTACCGGAGTATGTTGGTGGTTCATAAACTGCTGCCTCCAGAGTTGCTCCAAATGTGGGACTTGGTCCACAGTAACTTGACATGCTCAAGAAAACTCAATGTTCTTTAGCTCAGTCTCTCTGGAGAGCTGGGACTGCAGGAGCTGGGACAACTGATCCCTGCTCTGGGGTGGGGTGAGCCTCTCCTGGTGGCACATGAATCCTTCAGGGGCACTGCCCTCCGGAGTTAGGAGGGCAGAGACACTGTGCTCACGGGCAGGGTTTGTGATAGTGTTTGTTCCTGTACTGTATTGTGGTTCACATATCTCCAGCTGGGTTGGGGGTTGCTGAAAAAGAGAAAAAACCCAACAAAAAATGACAAGTCTAGCACAAAATGGAGAGAGGGCTAAGCGGTTTGTGCTCTGCTTTAGGTACTTCCTCCACAGCAGCATGATGAGTGGAGGGGTGGAGGGAGGAAGGGAGGGATGTGGCACTGGCATTTTCTGGAGATGTCCAGGGTCTGGGTATCCAGGGGAGCTGGTCCAAGGGCGTTCGGCCAATTACAAGTGCATCAGCCCCTCCCAACTCAAAAATAATGGGATTTTATTTATTATCTCAAATTTCTTCTCCATGCAAGGTTTTAGTTACACTGACGTTGTGTGTGCATTGGGTTCATCCCCACCAAAGTCCTGTGTCCCCTTATGCAGCTGGGGAGAGGGGCTTTTCTCTGAGGCTGGCCCTCAACAGCCCTGAGTCCCCATTAGGTTTTCAGCCTGACACTTGGGGGACCAGGGTCCTTGTCCTTGTCAGAGGGTCCCAGGCAACAGTGGTTCCCAGCACCAGCCTGGGCTGTGCTTGGCTCCCCAGCCCCTCTGCAGCCTTACTGCATGTCCTCAGAGGAATGCACCCAGCTGAAATTCCTCAGGGATTTGTTCTTCCTGGCAGGAAAGAGACTAGGCCAGCTGCCCTTGCCTGTGGCCAAGGAAGTGGTGGAGAAAACTGGTGGTCCCCCTGCAGTGCCCCAGGGATTTGTAACTTCTGGGACCCTACTTCCCAGGTATCCCAGGGAGTGCTGTGGGGAGACCCTCTCCGTGCTGCACAGCTGCCCTCGTGGCTTTGCCTTGCAGGAGACAACAGCCACAAAGGCCCTGTGTGTGGCTGCTTGGGGTTCAGCCTGGGTTTGTCAGCAACTGTGATGCTCCATGGTAGGTTGGAGACATTGGCCCTGCTCTAGCATAAGAAGCAGGATCCAAGGGGACAAACTGAAAGAAAGCTGGTGTTTCACACATCTGCTCAGCTCAGGGTTGTTGCAGTGTTTATTCTAGAGGCTGAGATGCAGGAGCATAACAGGGAATGGTGTCACAAGACACCATTTATTTGGGCTGAAAGGGCCACAAGCTCTCGAGGGGAGCCCTGGGCTGGTTACTTTGGTGGAAACCACCCAACAGAGACATGTGGCCACACAAGGGCCACGGGTGCTCTCCAGCCACTGACTGCAGTCATGAGCAAAGCCACAGGAATGTGCAAAGCCACATGCTCACACACGTGATCCCAGGCACAGGCTCTGCACACACAGATGTCCCTGTGTGTACGGCTGGCATGCCCAAATGTCCCTGCAGGGGGTGAACACACACAGCCACAACCATGGCCCTGACCACGCACAGTGAAACACGGGCACAGATACCTTTACTCCCTCTCCCTGTCTGGTGCCAGACATTGAAAGGAAAAAATGTTTACTACCTCAAAGGTCCCCCTGTGCAGTGCCTTTTTTTTTTTTTTTTTACTCCCTTTCTCTCTTTTTCTTAATGCATTTTGGAAATGGGCCTTTTTCATTTACTCCAAGTACATTCCCCAGGATAGAAAACAAACTAAAAAAGGGCATAAACCAGTCAAAAAGGGCACCCACATGCCAAGCCACACCACTCTCCAAATGGCCCTGCTCAGATGAGATGCAGATTTGAAGAGGAGGAAGAAAAAGAGCCAGTGCTGCTCAGGGCTCGGCTGGTGGTGATACTGTGAAATTGGATGTACAATGCACCGGGTCCCTGGAGCAGCCGGGCAGAGTCCTGAGGGCATTTTTGGTACCCACTGGGCTTAGGCAGCACACAACTCTTTCCTTTTCCCCTCCCTTCCCCACTTCCAACAGGAGTGAGTTCAGAAACACTTCTGAAATTGATACCTCCATAATTTATGTCAGGTACAGTACTTTAGGCTGTACATTTATCCTGGATGCGGGGTAAGCTCTTGCTCTCTGTGGCAATGTGCACAGTGAGCCAGGGCTGTGTGCAGACATCTCTCAGTGTTGTTCTTCACCTGGTGGGACCTGTACAGAGAAACCTTGTAGAGTTTGGTGAATATTATAGTTTCTAAATAAAGGTTAAAAGAAGAAAAAAATCCTACAAGCCTTCATCTTGTGTCATTACTTGTGAGTTTCTGCTGGGAACAAAACCTGGCAATGTGCTACTAAATCCTTGGAATAGGCATTTGGGGACTGTAGCTGCCCTGTTCCAGTTTGGCACAGCTTCCTTCTGGAGCTTAGCATGGTAACAAGGCTGTTGGGTATTTTGTCTCTTTCATGCACTCCTCCACCTTCATCTCAAACTAAACTTCTGATCCTCCTGGTGCCCTGCAGGGAGGAGCTTCTCATCTCAACCTCTGTGGCAAATCCACCTCAGCAGGATTATAAACTCGCTTGTTTTGTTGAGTACTCTCTCATTGTGCAGATGTGCACCTCCTGTCCCTGTTACCCTCCCCACAGGAGACCTTGCTCATTTCCACAGCCAAAGCACCATCATGGGGTAACACAACCCCTGGTCATGAGGTTTGAACCTGGCTGGGGTGAAGAAAAGCCAGATGAACCCATGGGTTTCACCTTGGCATTTAAGCATGGGCAGAGGGGAGGGCTCCATTTCCAGGGCTGGCACCCAGCTGGGTCACTCCCAGTGCCGGGGAAAAGAGACCAAAGGGGACCAGGACATACTGTATTTGGCAAACTGGGCCATCTGTCACCAGGGCTGGCCTCTCCAGGGCACCAAAAATTTCATAAGCACGGACAAAATGCAGCTGCTGAGTGGATGCACTTACAGCTGTTCCTGCCCATTCCCTCTCCGGTGCCACATGCCACGGTGTGCCATGTGTCCGGGAGTGGCATTAGGCCCCGTGCGGGTGTGGCTGAGGCCGAGGGCCCCAGCAGCCCCTCACGAACAGCCCCGTCAGGCACGGCGGGAACGGCGCGCGGCCGCCTGNGCTGGTACCGGGGGTCCGCAAGTCCCGGGGCCAGGAGAGACGCTGCGATTCCCCGCAATCTCGGTTGTCCCGCCCGGCCCTGCGGCAGTTCGGCGCCCGGAGTGGAACTCTGCCCGAGCACGCTTTTGCCTTCCGTTTTGGGACTGGGCTAGTCCCAGCGCTGTCTCTGGCACCCCTTCCGTCTCACCCCGCATCCCCTCCCGACCCTCCGGAGGCATTAAACACTCGTGGACAGCTTGAAGAAGCATCCGCAGGAGCCGGTCAGTGTGCCGCTGCTGAGGTTGCAGTTGGCACAGGAGCATTGCAGTTGTGTAGCACAAATTGCCACCCTCTGCTGCTTCAGGGTGGGAGGAAAGGCCCAAGGTGGAAGAAAAAAGTAAGCCTGCGCTTGTCAGATGGATGCTTTCGAATTCAGTCACTGCAAGAAGACACCACCTTTCTCCCTGTGGAATTTTTCTCTGGTGGCTATAAAGTCAGGGTAGAAATTACCCCAGGGCAGAGTCAGCGCCCCTGTTTCACTTGGCGGCAGGGCTGAGTGCTGCCTTGCCCCTACCTGACACAGAGCAGCCTCCAGTGCTGGGGTTTCCCCACTGCCTTACATCCCCCACCACTTCAAACTCGGCATCCAGCCAGCTCCTGGGGGCTCCTGACTCAGGCATGGGTGACTCTAGCAATTTACCCTTCCAAGGCCTACTCGAGATAAGCATCTGACTTGGGGAACAGGCATCCTAATGAGCCCTAGAATAAAAATGCATTCTCAGTGAATGCCATCCTGCACGGCCCTGATGCCCTTGAGGGGACATCCCAGGATTGTTCAGTGCCACCTGAAGCAAGGGACACACTGTGAATGAGGCAATATACCTGGCTTGTAGGCTGTCCTAGTGCCTCTTTCTTCTCTGCTGGGTAAGGAGAGGCAGTTTTCAGGCAAGCTGAGCCATAGCTAAGGGCACCTGCTCACTGAGAGGTGACAGGATCAGTCAGCCTCTCCAGGAGTGGAGAGCCTGCCACCATCAGCCAGCATGGGGAGGGAAGGAGCTGGAACAGCTGGGGCTGCCCATGTCACATACATGCAGGTAGATGGGGATCCCACCTGGGAAAACCCCTTGTGTAGGGCAGCTGGACTCTGCCTGTGGAATAGCAGTGTCTGGCTCATGTCCCACTGTGTGCTGCAGGAGCTGTCCCCAGTTGGGAACATTGCACTGGGGAAGCAGTGACACAGACCAAGCGTGGCCCAAGGGGATGCAGAATGATGGAATGGAAGACAGAGAGACCTGAAAGTGATTTTTAACTGTCTGAATCAAGAGCTGATTGCACTCTGCTCACCATGCATGTGGCACAACAAAATCCATGTGTGTACCATGATTGCCTGAACAGCTCTGCTGCCTGTGCTGGGGCTGGCCTTGGTTCATCTCTGTGCTGTGGGAGGCTGGTTTGCTATGAGAAAGGTACAACTGTTGCTTTAGCCAGGGGCAGTTTTGGCAGCTGGGACACTGCATGTGCCCAATAACATTGCCAGCAGTGGAATATGCAAAGGGCTGGGTTGGCAGCTGGCCAGCCTTGGTTCCAACCCTGGCAGGGGACTTCTCAGTATGGCCTGTGTTCCGTCTCTTTCCCCAGCAGTGTGTTGGAAGGCTGTCCTTGCCTGTGGCATCTCTGAGGCTGCAGCAGAACCCAGCATTTGAGGGAAGGATCACAGCACCCTGTGCAGAGGACAGAGAACCAGCACTGCCCATGGGGCTGTGTCAATTTGTGCTCCATGTCAATCTGTGCTCTGTATCAATCCATGCTCTGTATCAATCCATGCACTGTGTTATCCACACACCATTGAGCAGGTCTGGATATGGCCCAACTTTGGCAGCTGCTGTTAAGGCCAAAAAGGGTCCAGGATGCTGCAGGGAGAAAAGTAGCCAGGACACTGCAGATGCCAGTGTTTAGGCTGGGCTGTTCCCTGTATCCCATGTGTAGCCAGGATTTCCAGTCAGCCCTAGCAGTGAGCAGGAGGACAGACACTTGCCAGAGTGGAGCAAGGCCAGCCTTTTTCTGGGACACACCACATTGCAGGGCTGTCCCCAGCGGTACAGTACAGCCCAGCTCCTCTGCAGGCAGCTCCAGGAATTTCAAGGCCGAGGGAAGTCTCACAGAGAAGCATCAATGAGAGGGGTAATTTGGCCAAAAGAGCAGGTTTAACAGCTCCATTTGTGCAGTAAATATATTTAAGTTCCTTTTATGGCTGTCTCTTGTTGTAGCATGTTTGTGGCTTGGGAGTGTTGATCTAATTCCACAGTTAAAGGGAATTTAGCTGGTTTAGTGGAGACCCCAGGAGGGATTTGCCATGGATTCTCAGCTTCTGGCATAGTAGATGCTCACCCCTGTGCCTTTCCCGAGCCTTGCAGCTCTGGGAACACCTCAGAACACCTTACCCTGCTGCTGCCCAGGACGGGGGTTGGAACTGGGCTGCGAGGCATACGCGGCTGGCCAAAAGCCAGGAAAATCGGGTACCCAGCTCGAGGGGGAACCCCGCAGGAATCACAGATGAAGTGAGTGAGTGTCCCCAAACGCCCTGTTCAGCCTGTGGCCGCGTGTTTCCACTAGATGGTGACAAAAGGCTGCCTGTCCCGAGCGGAGCCCGCGGGGACACGCGGCTCCCTCAGAGCCGGCGCAGCTGAGCGGACACCCCGCTCTGCCTCCCTCGCTCCCAGGGGATCCGCGACGCGTCTGACACTCGCCGGATAGCAGCAGCAGCCAAGTGCAGTCGGGAGTGGAAAAGTTACACCTGTGGCTGGTGCAGGCGTCTGTTGCCAAAAAAATTGTCGGGAATCTCCAGCAAACACCCAGTGGGTGCTCAGAGAATGGGGAAGTGAGCTAGAAAAGCAATCAAACATGTCCCTGAGCACCTGACATCACCTGATAGCAGTGGTGATAGTGGCCTGAGCAGTGGCCCAATGCATATGGCATGGCAAAGCTGACAGCAAAAAACCCAAAACAACAACAACAACAACAACAACAACAACAACAACAAGCCCACTATAAAATCACATTTACCAATCCCAGGTCTGGATGCTGCTCCAAACCTCTTGAACAACCCTATGTTCGACTGGGAAATCCTTTTGCCCCCTTGGTGCCCACCTGACCCCATCATGCTGCTCCTATACCAGCATGTACCACACAGCTGATGGATGGTGACCCAACAACACCAGGCACTCAGGCCTTGTCCTCTCTCTTCCCAACTGCACAGTTCCCCAGGCCCTGATTAATGCAGGACAGTAAATGAGATGGGACTGTGAAGCAGTCTAATTAAGTCTTTTCTTCATTATGTCCTTGTCTGTGCCAAGAGGAGAGTCCTCAAGGATGATGAGTATGAAGTGGGTGCAGGGCTTGCTGTGACAAATGACACTTAATTCAAGTAGCCACAGAAAAGTGCATGTCCTCTGCCTTGGAATGGGCAGCTTGGGACACACTGGCCTGCAGGGATGAAAGTCAACAGTGCCTGGCAGAGTATGGGATTTCTTCTCTGGAAAGCATCCTTTCCTGAGGTGGGATGCTGCAGGAATTGGCATGGGCCCCTAGAGCCAGGCATACCCATTGTCATTCTGGCAAATGCTGGATGATAACCCAGCACATCCCTGTACCATTTCCTGGGGTTCATGGACAAAGAAACCTATGGGTGACTCTCAAAGAGAGTTTTGTACATGCAGATTTAGTCTCCACATGACCTCCAAGTATTCCTTTTAGTGATCATTTCTGGTACACTGCAGAGGAAAAGGGGCTTTCTATTTCCAGAAGGAGCCAATTTTTCTAAGATGTCCCTTCTGGCAGGCCAGTTCCTCTCCCCATCACCTCCTTGTCTGGAGCTGGCAGCAGGATCTTGTGGTTTGCCTGTGAGCCCCCAGCAAGCCCACACAGCCACCCAGAGCTTCCCAGCCAGGTGGACTCCCCTCTGGATCTGCTCAGCAGGAGAACAAGCGCAGCCCTAGAAAAAAGGATGAGAAAAGTGAGAGAAAAGTGGGACTGGAAGAGGACTTGCAGTAGATGCGAGATAAAGAAGACAAAACAGGATTGGGAGACATGGAGCAATTTGGGTGGTGAGAGGAGACCTTGGGAGACCCCACTCTCTCCATTGGGGTAGAGAAACTCCAAGTGAAGAGTTCAGTGA